CATTTTTTAAGAGGGTACCATGACTCAAAAAGTTGAAATAACGCTGCTCAAGAGAAATGTATTTCTATGCATTTTGAGAAGCGCTTGACAATTAACTAAAACTTACATCCTTCGTGGAAATCAGCAGCCGCACTGCCGTTGTATAACTTACACTGTCGCTCATAAAGGTGGAATATTTTAGTTTTACCCCAATTTATGGAATTATTTTAAAAATTATTTAAAAATAATAGATCTAGATAATAGTTTACATTCTCAGATTTTATTGAATAATAATTTGCTAATGTGTGTTTTTGCGGGGACTGCTAAAACATGTGTATGCTACTATGCTTATTAACTAGGGGACTTACGCCCTCAAGTCATAAATGACAGTAATGAGGATTAATGCCCCACAAAAGGGCACTAATATAGCACATCGACACGGTTTTGATCCTGGGGCCTCACAGTTACGAGGCCATTGTTTTGTCACTGAACTATGACTGTGCGCAGCGGGGACTAGGGTAGGGGGCAGTTTCCATAAATTAAAAAAAAACACAGAAAATGCAATAAATTTTCAATAATTTATTGCATTTTACCCCGGTCCCCAACATAAAAAAATCCTCTGGACGGCTTTGCATTATGGCTCAAGGCATGGGCACACAGAAGATTTGTTTATGTTGGGAACCGGGGTAAAATACAATAAATTATTGAAAATTTATTGCATTTTCTGTGTTTTATTTTATTTATGGAAACTGCCCCCTACCCTAGCCCCCGCTGCGTACAGTCATGGTTCAGTGACAAAGCAATGGCCTCGTAACTGTGAGGCCCCAGGATCAAAACCGTGTCGATGTGCTATATTAGTGCCCTTTTGCGGGGCATTAATCCTCATTACTGTCATTTATGACTTAAGGGCATAGGTCCCCTAGTTAATAAGCATAGTAGCATACATATGCTTTAGCAGTCACGCAAAGCACACATTGGCAAATTATTGATCAATAAAATCTGAGAATGTATACTATTATCTAGATCTATTATTTTTAAATAATTTTTAAAATAATTCCATAAATTGGTATAAAAACAAAATATTCCACCTTTATGAGCGACAGTGTATATGTATTAAAGGGAAATGTTTAGTAACGAGGAAGACAACGTGCTAGTATTTGAGCGAATATGGGTTCATGAAGGGGGTCTTATAGGCTCGTAGCCATCTCTCAATGTATCAGATCGTCTTTTGCTATTGAATCCTGATTGTCCACGGGGGTAGTTGTCCTCGGGGGGTAATTGTCCTCGGGGGTAGTTGTCCTCGGGGGGGGGGGGTAATTGTCCTCGGGGGTAGTTGTCCTCGGGGGGTAATTGTCCTCGGGGGTAGTTGTCCTCGGGGGGTAGTTGTCCTCGGGGGGTAGTTGTCCTCGGGGGGTAGTTGTCCGGGGGGGTAATTTTCCGGGGGGTAATTGTCCTCGGGGGGTAGTTGTCCTCGGGGGGTAATACTCCGGGGGGTAATTTTCCGGGGGGTTATTGTCCTTGGGGGGTAGTTGTCCTCGGGGGGTTATTCTCCGGGGGGTAATTTTCCGGGGGGTAATTGTCCTTCGGGGGTAGTTTTCCGGGGGGTAAATTTCCGGGGGGTGATTGCCCAGGGGGTAATTGTCCTAGAACCAATTTATACCCTTATTGTGTATACCGGAATTAAATATTTTGCTGAGGTATTCCTCAATGTGTTACCTTTCAACTGGGCAAGAAAAAAAATGAAAAAAATAAATCACCAAAAATGAGTTTTGGCGCACTTTGGTTCCTCCCTGGCCCACTGTGCGGCGGCTGTTAGCCTGACAAACCGTTCAATGAGTGATAGCCAGGTTGAAATTCTCCTCAACGACATTGCCGAATCACCAGCCATATTGCAAGACATCACAAATTCTTCGGTGAAGGTCACATCAACAAACACAGCTAACACAAATGTTAATTTTCATGGCTGTGTTGTAAACATTTATAATAAATAGGCTTAAGTCTCGGGCCTATAGGAGTGTAAATATGTTCCCGAGTTGCACAGCAAAGACTGTAAATATGTTACTGACTGTGAAGAGCAAAGATTGTTGATGTTGAATTTCTTTTAGCGTTGGATTTTTAAACTACAAAAGACTCTGTAAATATGTTAGTTACTGTGATACTGATTACTAGTGTGAGGAGCAAATACTCTTCTTATTCTGGTGAGTAAATCCTCTTGATCTCGTTTCCTGTTTGTTACTAGTTAAAGCTAGACCTTCAGCTAGACCTATTCATAAAGCAATAAAAAGGATGAAGTATATAAAACAAATATGGACTGCTCTGTAATCGGATGATGGTGGAAATTATCACTCCCTCAGTGGGGTTCATAACGACCCTTCTACTATCACATCAAAAACGTCAATTTGGGGACAATTTTAAGAAAAAGGGTACTTTATTCCTTGAAACGCAGCGCGCGTAACAGCTGCACTGCTAATGCCAGGGTAATTATGCTGCATTATTGTAGAGCGCTTAGAGACTTCTGACAAAGAAAGTGTTTGGCGCTATATAAGCACTGTAATTATTATTATTTTTCAAAACGATTCAAAATCCTGCTGTACGCGCCGGTATACGCGTTTAAGGGTATTGTTCTATCCCTCAGGGCCAGACATGGGGGGAAAAGGGGGAGGGGGGGGGGGGGGGGTAATGAATGCTCTTTGGCGAGACTACCGGCCGCCGCCTAGCTAGTTATAGCAAAGATGATAGTCGTGCGGCACTGGTATCCCGACACATGCTCCGCCGACGATTGCTCCGCCGACATTTACTCCGCAAAACGCGACAATTGCTCCGCGACATTTGCTCCGCCGACATTTGCTCGGCCGACAATTGCTCCGCCGACAATTGCTCCGCCGACAATTGCTCCGCCGACATTTGCTCCGCCGACAATTGCTCCGCCGACAATTGCTCCGCAAAACGCGACAATTGCTCCGGTGACAAATGCTCCTCGAACGACAGTTGCTCCGCCGACAGTTGCTCCGCCGACATTTGCTCCGCCTGAAGCGACACTTGCTCCGGTGACATTTGCTCCGCCTACAATTGCTCCGCCGACATTTGCTCCGCCGACAATTGTTCCGCCGACATTTGCTCCGCCGACATTTGCTCCGCCGACATTTGCTCCGCTCAAAAAGTGACCCGTAAAAAAAAAAGGCTACTACGACAATAAAATTGCTCTCTGATTCAAAAGTGCGGCCTCGTGGAAGACATAAATGCTCCTCTGGCAATTAGTGCAATAAATGCTCAGCCGTTTTTTGCTTTTCCCTATAATGTTTGATTTATAAAAAAAATCAAGTTGTAGCTCCTTATGCAAGTTCTCCGGCGAAAGATAATTACTCCGCTCAAAATCTGTTTCATGTATTACTCATTGGCTGATCCAAAGCTCAAGGCTATCTTTCTCTCTCTCTCTTGCTCCTCCTTTTCCTTTTCACACCCTTTTCTTGTCTCCTGAGCTCTTTTCTTTCCTCTCATGCTATTAGTCTTCTTTCATTTTCATCACTTCTTCTCTTCTCCCCCTCTCGAGTTATATTTCTCTCGTGAAATTGTAACGTAATGTAGTACATGAAGTACATTCTTGTTTAGAATAGTATTTTCAATAATATCCAGTCCGTTTTCTATAGGTTTCTTTCCTTCAGTTAAGTGCTTTACTAAATATATATATATTAGTGTGTAAAACACCCCGTCTCATTCGAGTACTTTGTTTTCACTGACTTTAAGAGACTCACGGAACCACCGGAAGAAGAGCAATTGGCTTATCATGAAGAACTAACATCAAACTGCAACAAAATGATTTGTATAAACGGGAATAAGCAGAAAGGCTGCCATCTAATTTTCCCGTCTGAATGAGTTCTCTCTTTTACGTATAAGTGCCCTTCAAAGCTTATTTTGATCCCTCCCCTGTTGTTTTCTAGAACTTCCATGATGACCTAGTACATTGTATAATGCTTTACGTAATGATGGTTTACCTAGTAAGATGCATGTGCTTGCTTGCATTGAGGTCAGGTCTTACATATTGATGAGCTGTTTGAAATTAACTAGGAGGTATGCGCGTATTGGGGAATGTGGCTTGCTGCTCTACTTTTTTTGTTAAACTTCCCACGATATGTAATAAATGTTTAGTGTACATTATATGGGACGTACAGTGATAGATGGTTATTTCAGTATATTCGAAATGACTTTTAGGTAACTCCTTTTTCCTCCCATCATCAACATTCATTAATTTTAATTTCATCTACAATATTTCATGAAATGCATTCAGAAAATGAAGAAAAAAAGAAACGAAAATAACCCGTGATAAAAAATATTGTCGGCGAATCATTTGTCGTAGTACTAGTATCATTTGTATTTTATTGGACACTTTTTGGGCGGAGCAAATGTCACCGGAGCAAGTATCGCTTCATGCGGAGCAAATGTAGGAGGAGCAATTGTCGGCGGAGCAATTGTCGGCGGAGCATCTGTCGGCGGAGCAATTGTCGGCGGAGCAAATGTCGTCGGAGCAAATGTCACCGGAGCAAGTGTCGCTTCATGCGGAGCAAATGTCGGAGGAGCAATTGTCGGCGGAGCAAATGTCGGCGGAGCAACTGTCGTTCGAGGAGCATTTGTCACCGGAGCAATTGTCGCGTTTTGCGGAGCAATTGTCGGCGGAGCAAATGTCGGCCGAGCAATTGTCGGCGGAGCATCTGTCGGCGGAGCAATTGTCGGCGGAGCAAATGTCGGCGGAGCAAATGTCGGCGGAGCAATTGTCGGCGGAGCATTTGACGTCGGAGCAAATGTCGCGGAGCAAATGTCGCGGAGCAATTGTCGCGTTTTGCGGAGTAAATGTCGGCGGAGCAATCGTCGGCGGAGCATGTGTCATGGAACCGCGGCACTCTGCCATCTTTGCTTATACTAGTGTGGACGACGGCCGGCCGCGAGAGGTAGCTTATTTAGCATGTCATGGTATGCATGCGTGTTTTTTGGTCCTTTTCGGCCAGTGACCCTAGGGTGACCAAAGGTCAGCCCTGCTGTTTTTGCTGATCGGGAACACGCATGCGGCGACTTTCGGCGACGATGTACACATCGGGCGGACATCGGCCGATGTCCGCTGTACGTCCTCCTAGTGTAATCGGCCGATCATCGTAGGGTGTTAACACTCGCGAACCCATAAATCCGCTCGTTTGTGCAACTTTCATGAGTACAGTCCAGAATATCATACAAATCACACACTTTTTAAAGTACCCATGCCCCCTTTTACCTCAGATAAGTGCCCCTTTTTATTTCTAATATGTGCCCGTTCCACATTCTTATAATTGCCTCTTACCACTTCTGATAAGTCCCTCCTTTACCGATGATAATTGCCCTATTCAGTCTGAGAAGTGCCCATTTCTTTTGTAATAAGTGCCCCTCCTCCCCACTCAGAAATACACCTTTTCTTTTTTTAGAAATAAGAGCCACTTCCCTTTCTCATAAATTCCCCTTTGCACACGTCTGATAAATGCATCTATCAATATCCCATAGGTGCCCATTTTCCTTTGTAATAGGCACATGTTAAAGGAAGGACATTAATATGAAAGATTTCCACCTCTATATCCTTTAAAAAAGAAAATCTCTCCTATTCACTTGCCAACTCAAACACACACGCACACTTAACATCGCGCCCACCTTAAAATGAGTTACCCATACGATGGGTGTCAGATTGAAAACTTAAAAGAAGTAGAACAAAAAAATATTCTAATGTTTTTTATTTAGTTTTTTCTTCTTCTATTTTTCCCACTTCATATCCATATCAATGAATAAGATTGCAGTGATTTACTCGTAAGAAATTTCCTTTGAAATTATGTCATACTAAAATATTAAAACTATAGATTAAAACAGATTAGTTAGATCAATTAGAAGTATACATTGCCCCCCCCCCCCCCACTCCGAGAACGGAGGGACCGCATTCATGTTCCCCAAATTTCCGGTAAAGGGGTACTTTTCACGCAACAAAGTCCGGCTCGTAATCCACATAAAATCGGCCTGTATTGACTTTACACACCGAATTTAGGGGGTGTTTTCAAGGGGTCTATTCGCTATTCATAAGGACCGCTATTCATAAGGTCCGCTATTCATAAGGACCGTTATTCATAACGTGTAAATTCCCGTACTTCCTGGTCCGCTATTCATAATGGCAAAAGAGGGTCAATATTCATAAAGAAATAAGGTTCGTTAATCATAAGGACCGCTATTCATAACGTGAGATGAGGGTCGCTATTCATAATTCATATTAAGGGTCATTAATCATAAGGACCGCTATTCATAATATGAAATCAGGGTCGCTATTCATAATACGACGAGAGGGTCGCTATTCATAATACGAAATAAGGTTCATTACTTATAAGGGTCGCTATTCATAACACGGGAAGAGGGTCGCTATTCATAATACGAAATGAGGGTCGCTATTCATAATAGGAGAAGAGGGTCGCTATTCATAATACGAAATGAGGTTCGCTATTCATAATAGGAGAAAAGGGTCGCTATTCATAATACGAAATGAGGTTCGCTATTCATAATAGGAGAAGAGGGTCGCTATTCATAATAGGAGAAGAGGGTCGCTATTCATAATACGAAATTTAAAACCTACTTAAAAACAAGACAAATATTCAGGGCCATGTGTCGCCTTGGGGGTGTCCTCCGTCCAATATTTCTATTTGTTATGAGCATTTTGGATATTGCTTAGGCCTATTTCATTTTATGAATAACAACCCTCATCCCGTATTATGAATAGCGACCCTAACTCTATATTATGAATAGCGACCCTCTACTTCTATTATGAATAGCGAACCTCATTTCGTATCATGAATAGCGACCCTCTACTCCTATTATGAATAGCGACCCTCATTTCGTATTATGAATAGCGACCCTCTACTCCTATTATGAATAGCGACCCTCTTCTCCTATTATGAATAGCGAACCTCCTTTCGTATTATGAATAGCGACCCTCTTCTCCTATTATGAATAGCGACCCTCATTTCGTATTATGAATAGCGACCCTCTTCTCCTATTATGAATAGCGACCCTCTTCTCCTATTATGAATAGCGACCCTCTTCTCCTATTATGAATAGCGAACCTCATTTCGTATTATGAATAGCGACCCTCTTCTCCTATTATGAATAGCGACCCTTATGAATAACGACCCCGATTTTGCATTATGAATAGCGACCCTCTTCTCGTATTATGAATACCGACCCTCTTCTTTGATTATGAATAGCGGTCCTTATGAATAATGAACCTTATGAATAGCGACCCTCTTCTCCTATTATGAATAGCGACCCTCTTCTCCTATTATGAATAGCGAACCTCATTCCGTATTATGAATAGCGACCCTCTTCTCCTATTATGAATAGCGACCCTTATGAATAACGACCCCGATTTTGCATTATGAATAGCGACCCTCTTCTCGTATTATGAATACCGACCCTCTTCTTTGATTATGAATAGCGGTCCTTATGAATAACGGACCTTATGAATAGCGGACCTTATGAATAGCGGACCTTATGAATAGCGACATTGACCCGTTTTCAAAGGGAGGGAACATGTATACGCGTACCCTAAATAACACTGAATGGGAGGGGGGGGGGGGTGGGACCTAGGGCAAGCTTATACTCAGCCATTGGCTACATTTTTTGTAGTCCCACACGCCAATTTCCGTGTGAAGCTTCTGGACTTTGAAACGACTATGATGGTTCTAAGCGTGAAGTAACACACAAAGTCAGACCTCCAGCATGACAGTTGCCAATTTATTTCGAACGGAAAATTACATCATTGTCACGTGAGTGACTTTTTAAAAATTATTTACACTGCTATACCTCATCAGAAAACCACACCAGAACACAATTGTATAAAGGTATAATGAAGGTTTAATATTCAGCCTACAAATCGTGGCGTCAAAATCAGAACATAAACAATTTAATAGAACATAACCTCCTGGTCCTGGTCGCTTGGCCAGTCTCTAGACTGCGTAGATATCCCCGTCGACTTTGCAGCTCATCTCTATTTCTGTCGATGACTCCCCTGGTCGCTTGGCCAGTCTCTAGACTGCGTAGAAATCCCCGTCGACTTGATAGCTTATCTCGCCCCGACGTGAAGATCTCTCTGAAGAAAATGTTTCTCCTACTAAATAAATCTACCTCGTGCATTAAACGTCTGCACCGTAGCACTGACTTGAAGGGTTCTGCCCATTATTCTAGAGCAACTTCCCTTTCCCCTTTCTTTGCCATGTCCTTCACATTCAAACCTCCTAGGTATGCAAGCTATTTCTATTTCTATCTACATTCAATAGCCAACCCAAAATCATGCATATCAAAAACCCCATATACTGTGTATCTTAAATGCAAAATGATTGACCTTAGAGTAGTACATTTCCTTTGAGTAGTACATTTCCTTGAGTAGTACATTTCCATTCTCGCCTGGAAAAAAATTCCTTTCATGACAATCATATACTACATAATCAATTTTTTCATCACATTCTACATAAATCTTGGTTTCTTACTTCTTAAATTTACTTAACAAGACTAATATAATCTTAACGATAAATACCACCTATAAAAAGACTTAAAGTATGGAAACCAGGTAGCGAATAAGAAATGTTTAAAGAAAAACTATATACCTACATCAGCCTCCTCACAGTGCGAAGGACCTTATTAAACTTAGGCCTATATCATCTAACAAAGAAATAATGCCCTATTTTGACCTGATCATGCAAATTATGATTGCTATCTCAAAGACTTTTGTTTCAGACTGTATGATATCGATATGTATGAGCAAGAGGAGCCTCTTTTTCGATACAATATGGCGTTTGATACCAGGAAAAAATTGCGAAACAATCCTTAAATTCGCAACAGATTTTGAGACGTTCATAAAGATGACAAAAGAAATTACAAGTGTTAACCATCTTGACGACTAAAAATTTGAAATAAAATATACTGTCATGACTAATTCGTTAAAGGTTACTCGAAGCTTAACAGGTGACGCCCAATAGTTAATTAATTAAAATAACTTATTATTAAATGAGGAGAAAGAGAAAGAGAGAGAGAGAGAGAGAGAGGGAGAGAGGAAGGAAGAGAGCAATAACCATGACAAAAGAAATTTCAAGTGTTAAAGGTATAGACCAGTTTTGGAAACGCCCTCCTCTCAAAAAATAAAATGGAAGCTCTTATTATCAATCATGTGAAAAAAATATGTTTTGACTATTAAATACGTGATGATACAAATTTTGCCGGGAAACCGCCTACTAGTTGATATATGTGGTAAATTATTTTATCTATCCGGACTGGAAAGATATTACGTAGTCCCATATACATTTTTCTGTGTACAGTGCTTGTAACTATACCAAGACTGGGCCAAATTTCTTATCATTTTGATGATTCCAGAACCTTGCAGTACACACCAATACTTATATATGCTAGATGATCAACCTTTCTGATCGATTCCACAACATTTCTTTCACAATGCAATCGCATGACCAGAACTGGTCTATACCTTTAACCATCTCGATGACTAAACATTTCCAATTTAATATCCCGTAATGACTAATTTATTAAAAGTTATTCGAAGCTTTAGAGCTGATGCCCAATCGTTAATAGAAATAACTTATGATTAGATAAGCAGAAAAACAAAGAGCAGAGTCAAACAGAAGACGACTTGAGATGAAATCAAGATGGCGGCGTTGTTGTCTGTGGAAGAAATGTTTGAAAGTATAATCAGCAAAAGGGAAGTGGGAAAAAAGATTAGGATTTCGAGTGTCCTTTTGTTCATTAGGTACATTATGTACCCCTCCCCCCGGGAAAATTCATTTAAGAAGATGGAATAGAGCCCCAACATCAAGCGCATTTTTATATCAAAAAAGTTTGATATTCACACTTTCTTTATCGGATCAAAGATTTTTTTTTTTTTTTTTTATCTCAACAGGGATGTTTTAACATGTTTTCAAAATGAGGACGTACATAATTTGGTGTAACTATATTTAAAGGTAATAATACAAAGTTTTGGTATGGGGTCATGGATTTGGTTCAAATGAACATATTGGAAGCATATGCGATCCTACAATATTCAGTGATCGTCGTCGCGGTTGAAATCGAGTCTAAAGTTATGAAATTGGAAATAATAAATTCCTTATGTTGTATTGCTCTCTCTCAAGGTCAATATATTAATTAAGCTATAAAACAATGTTTCATGACTAAACTCGATCAATTAGCTATTCCCGTTTGGATATTATATAACACAACTACATATTCTGAGATGTTCATGGTCGCAGCTACCATTGTACGGCCATAGGTGCTATATGAAATTTATCAACATTTACCGGGAGCACAGGTACATGTTTATTTTCAATTTTTCTCGAAAGCAGAAGTGTTTTAGAGGCTAAATTTTCAAGTGCTTATAATACATCCACAGGGGCATCCAGATATATAAAAAATTGTAAAGAATCACTATCCAGCCAATTTTTAAGATTTCCCAAAACTTTATAGTACCTTTAACAATATCATAGGCCAATGTAATAGTAGTAGACGTGATAGTAGTAGTAGTAGTAGTAGTATTAGTCGTTGTAACCCTTATTGTAGGAGCAGCCCAGGCCAGAATATAGTCTACATCCATACAAATATGAAGAGGGTTACGAACTACTATTGCATTATGGGTTTGGCCCTGGCACAGATATAGGGGGAGGGGGTCTTACGTACCTGTAGGGGATGAATCGTCATAAACCTCGTAGAGAGATACAGTCCCACTGACTGAACTCGTAACCATCAGCATGGGTACTCCTGTCACACTCGCGGATGCAGGGATGAATCTAAAATAAACAATGTACGATATAAGAAAAACACGTTCTAAATCTGATTATACTTTTTTTGATATTTTCTATTTTGGTCACTCAGTGAGCTTTAAGAGAAGGTTGAGTTCTGGTAAAGACGATAAATAATTTGTGAGCTTTCCTATTCCTTGTAAGCCAGGGAAAAGTCATGCTATAAATGTCTCCCGAGATGGATCGCTCTTCAAATGCTATCATAATGAAAAATAGCTGACAAGTCGGGAACAAACTTTAATTTCTGAGTGAAGCGCATATGCTTTTCAGCAAGACTGCTATCAAAAGAGTCATTGCAAAATTGTTCATTAGTTTATCTCCATTTTAAAATAAACATAAAGTGCAATTCATAAATATAGGGAAACCAATTTCTTACACAAAAGAGTCGTACAAACAATTATCCACACAAATTTGATATAATGAATTTCATTAGGTAAAATAGACAAAATAGAAAAAAAAGAACTATGAAAAAGGCAACAGAAGGTCCAGTGAAGTAATTCCTCTCAAAAATTTCCAATTAATTCTTGACAATTATCTTATAAAAAATACTTAATCTCATGTCCAGGTGCGCATTGACATTTACAATTTCAAATTTCCAATAATTTTGAAGGGAATAACAAACCGATCGCAAATACTTTCCAGAAATTTACTCAAAGGCAATTTAATTTCCCTGTTAATTGTTAACCATTTTCAGATTGTGGAACACGTCACATTGCAAAAGGTAATGGACGAGACTATCATAATTGCCCATGGTTGATTTCTCGAAAGTTCTAGCGATCGTGTTAAAAATGCTGCCTTTACTTGAGATCGTCAGGATCAAGGTCGCCCAAGTTACGGTCGTCAAGAAGATTCTGGAACGTATCATTACGACCACCAGCACGGTACACGCTTTCGAACGTCGGTACGACCTCACCAGATTCGAGAGAGTAGACTAGGATGGCCGATGTACGATCGATGCCGACGAAAATAATACGACGTCCACCGAGTTCGCCGATCTCCACCGATTCACATTCGGGACCCTAAGTAGGAGGTGTATTTATGAGACATACTAACGTTAGTCGGAATATGAAAAATTAACTGTCATATAAATATTTAGTAATTAATGAATTGGTCTGGTTAACCCAGAAACCAGAGAAGCCTCTCCTGCTCTCCCTGCTGGTCAAGTAGTTATTAGTAACCCAGCCTTTCCAGGTACCCATTCGATACATCTGAATTGAAAGGGGCAAATGTGGGCAAAACATCTTCCCAAGGGATGTCACTGAGCTAGGAACGAACCGAGGGCCTCACTTTACCAAATAATGTTAATGGCAGTAGCTAATTACGGTTCTAGGGCAACTACCCACTTGACATCCACCCCCGGATGACCACCCATAGTCAACTACCCCCTAGGACAATCACACCCTAGGACAACTATCCCCTAGGCCCTAGGGCAACCACGCTCTAGGACGACTACCCCCAGACAACTACCCCCTACGACAGCCATCATCTAGGATAACTATCCCCCGGACAACTGTCCTAGGGGGTAGTTGTCTGGAGGTAGTAGTCCTAGGGGGTAGTTGTCCGGGGGTCGTTTTCCTAGGGGGAATTTTCTGGGGGTAGTTGTCCGGGGGTAGCTGTCCTGGGGGTAGTCGTTCTAGAGGGAAATTGCCGTGGGGGTAGTAGTTCTAGAGGGTGGTTGTCCTAGGGGGTAGTTGACTGGGGGTGGTTATCCGGGGGTGGATGTCCAGGGGATAGGTGTCCGGATACGGCTAATTACACATGTTAGAGCCAATGGCCCGAATTCACAAAGGAGGTTTGTCGACAAACCTTGGTTTTCGTGCGTCATATGACGCGTTTCGACGCGTTTTTACAAACCAGGTTTGTAAAAAACGCGTCAAAACGCGTCATATGACGTACATAAACCTCGGTTTGTCGACAAACCTCCTTTGTGAATTCGGGCCTTTAAGTGCGTGCAGGGCTCCCACTTAGCCGAGTTGTATTAGCGAGTTATGGGGAGTTGTGGTGAGTTGCCTCAAAGAGGCACTCGCAACAACTCGCGAATAATTCGGTATGGCTTAGCGTAACTCTTTACAACATTCCACGACTCTCCTCGAAGTCGCGAGCAGTTCCAAAATTTGGAATATGTTCAAAAAAATTCCCCGATTCGTTGCAATTCGAGGTGAACTCGCCTACACTCGTAATATACACGCATTACTTGTAACAAGCTCGCGCTGCACTCTTCATAAGGTGGCGAGTTGCTACGAGTGTTAAGCAAGTTCACCTCGAGCTACAACGAATCAGCGAAAATTTTGAACATGTTCAAAATTTTCACTGATTCGTTGTTACTCGAGGTGAATTCGTTGTTACTCGAGGTGAACTCGCTTACACTCGTAATATACTCGCATTACTCGTAGCAAGCTCGCTCTGCACCCTTCATAAGGTGGCTAGTTGCTACGAGTTATGAAGAGTGCAGCGGGAGCTTGTTACAAGTAATGCGTCTATATTACGAGTGTAGGCGAGTTCACCTTGAATTGCAACGAATCGGGGAAATTTTTTGAACATGTTCCAAATTTTGGAACTGCTCGCGACTTCGAGGAGAGTCGTGGAATGTTGTAAAGAGTTACGCTAAGCCATACCAAATTATTCGCGAGTTATTGCGAGTGCCTCTTTGAGGCAACTCACCACAACTCCCCATAACTCGCTAATACAACTCGGCTAAGTGGGAGCCCTGCTAGACAAGTTTGAACAATGTAAAACGGATGTATGACATGTACGAAGTAAGCTCTTGCTTTGCTGTGCAAATTTCATCTTGAGGCAGATTTAGGCTTTATAGAAATAAAGATAATTCATTTGGTCGAAATGGTGAAAGAAATTGTACCTGATTATCGGAGCGTTTATCAAACAAGTCTTCCGGTGTTTCGTTGGCTGGATCATCCGTATTGGTGTCGGTGCTGAAGACGTCGGGGTAGAACTTAGCAATGATCTTCGCCACCTCGTCGCCACTGTCATAGACGAGTGCGATGTCGGAGGCCCTGAAGATGGAAAAGCCTCGAGCACCAAAGAAATAAAGCTTCTCGAATTTTCCCGAGCTGTCCAAGCCGTCGACTTTGCTGAATCCTAGACGTCCTGTAAACAACCCGTGGTAAGAAAAAGAGAAATTGAAATAGGTGTAGAGGTATTGTTTCTCAGTGGAGAAGTCTTCGTGTACCACAAGGTATCGGCTTCGAATCCCTGTCACTAAAGTCCTTCGGCAAAACATTAAACTTCATTTGCCAAACTCGACCCAGGTAAGGTTAATGGGTACCTGGCAGGAATAAATTCCTTAAGGTGCTTAAGAGCTGTAAAGTCCGCCAATGGAGCGCCAAGAGTAGCAATGTTCATGACATGAGCGCTATAAAAGAACCCATTATTACATTTAAGAGTTGGAGGAAATGAGTATGGTGTAACCGGTAACTCAAAGTTTTTAAAAAGTTTTTAAAAGCACTTTCTGATAATTTTGAAGCTCAATTTGTGTAGGGCTTCTATATTACACCATATCACAGACACTGATAACACGTAGAGCCATGCATCTCAGATTTTGCATTTTTTGAACAATGCCTTAACAAAATTGAAATGGGACCTTTCGAGCCAAAGTCTAAATGGGTTCATGCCCATGATTATAAGTTCTGTATATACAGAGCGTTAAATCAGAACATTAATCTAATGTTCTATATAGCTGTGGAAGGGGAGACACTGGGATACGTGTCCCCTTGGAACTAAGAGCGAAAAAAGAAACAATAAATAAAAAAAAAAAAGGGGGGGGGGGGAGGAAAGAAAGCGAAGGGGAAAAGATATTCGAATTTGATTACTCACCAAGAATATCATCGTCATCAAGTTTCGCAATCAGCTCATTGTCAAATGTTTCCGCGAAATCCCCTGTAAACATGATAAGCGTAGAAAATACGAAATTTTGATTTGACATTACTGAAGTTGTTCAGTTCATAGATCATAATGTCTATCCAGTTAATAATTCTACTTGACTTTAGCCACAAAGAAAAAAGGTAACAAAAACAGCAACAACAACAAAATGAACAAAAACTCGAAGGCTAACATTTTAATTATCAATTAAAAAGGTTATTTGTTATTTTAGTGATAGTCATGTACATCAGTTGGTCAAAATCCCAAAATTGAAATGATGTCAATCCTCTTGCAATCAATATCATATACATAAACACATACCCAAACACCCACACACACACACACACACACACATGCACATCCTCACCTACATATCACAATAGATAATGCATGAATAATTTACCAGCTTTAAAGTCATTTCCTCTCTGATCTTCGGCCCACTCCTCATTTCCTAGCTCGTACTCAAGAAACTCGCCCTCATTGGTCGTGATGATATAACCAACTCCGTCCACTTCAAAATACTTGATACTATCTGGCTGGTAAATGCTGAAGATGTCGTTTCTCCTGAATATGATTCCTGATGCAAAGAAACATATGACGCACCGTGAATTTATCCAATTAATGACCATTTCAAACGAGGCGTTATTCATATCTCGTCAGTACATGCGCTAATTGAGCCCATGAATGCCATTTGCCTTTTAAAGACCGTCAATACGACTGGGCCAGAAGGGATTAGACCACACAGCGAGGTCACTGACAGGTGGTTAACTTGTTAACTCAGCTCTCAACTAACATAAGAAAAAGAGGATCGGGGGGACCAACAGGCACCGATTGGGAAGTTTTATATATAGAGGGAGCAAGTAGCTACAAGTAGGACAGTGGGGCTTTAAGTTGCAGTTTTAACGTTAATTGCACCTTTCATTTTGCACTATTTATTTTAGATTAAGTGTGGCAGGCTAAAACAGTCACTGACGCGGCCCTCAGTCAAGCAAACGACGATATGTGTTATCTTTTATAGTTTTATATTTAGGCGACTCTTTGATTGGTTGAACGACTGATTGTTGGCTCAATTGTTTTTCCTCAATATTCAGCGAATTCCGTCAATAATATTAAAGGCTTGACATTTTTTTTTTTTTGTGTTCCTGAAAATGAAACGAATTTAAACAAAACCTTATTTCTGGTTCTATGAAAATTGGCAAGTAAGTAGTTCTTTATCAAACCAACTTGCTATTGCATTAACTTCAATCGATCACTTGCTTGATCTGTTTTCTTCTCATTTTAACGCGATTGACACAGGATTGATTAGCTGGTTGATGATTGTCTTAATAAATTTATTACAAAATCTCTTGATATAAAAACTGGAGGCAAGATGTTCATCTTAACCTAAATGTATTGCCTACAAAAACGAAGTCCGGAATACGAAGCATGGCAATCTCATGTTCACACATTCTGATAGTTGACACAAGGCTATTTAAAGAGAAATTAATAATTAAAAAAAATAGATTGAGTGAGTGACGTAAGCAGGTAATAGTTAGAAGCGATCTCCTTACCATCATCTCTGTCGCTTGCATCAAGATCCAGGTTGAGCCAACTTTTTTCACCCAGGGGATAAATGTCTTCTATTTCATCAGCCAGTAGATCCACCACGGCGATGGCGTTGTTTTCCTTTAAAGGCAACAAAAAACACTATTCATTTTGGAAGCGAAAATGCCGCGGACGAGAAAGATCATCATTCGATTTAAATATTTTAAAAATTAACCATTTTCAACTCTTCAATTGAAGTGACTCTTCCTTAAAGAGCAATAGTACAGATCGGTCTACGATTCAGTTTTTAGATTGATTTTGAAGTAGCTTTTAAGAAAACAAAGAACAGATGGAAACTGTTTATAACAAATCGAGTTTTGAAGAAGCAATTCAAACATTTTATTGGTGATTTGTGACGCAGTAGGGTGAAACCTATAAATCTCGATTATGACGCTTTTGAAATTGTAGGCACATCCGTTGCGATTATTGGCAATTAAAACAAAATTGGAAAGATTTAGCTATATCTCCCAACACCTTGGATGTTCATTCGATTCTTCGATTGTTGTTTTTCAGATGTTGTCCTCAATAATCTTGGAATTGGCTCACCTGCAATCCAACGAATGCTTTCGTGTCATCATAGTTATAGGTGATGTATTCAGGCTCTAGATTTTGGGCGAACGTATCATTGGCACCGTCTAACTCTCCGTGGTATGGGTAACGTACTCCTCTTGCAACGTATTCATCCGACCTAAGAGGTTGAAAGCAAAAGCGTTGGAGGACGTGAAATGGATCATCGACATCTTGGACTCAATTTTAATTTACAATTAAACAAAACAACAACAAAAGTCAGTTAAAAAAAAATTCATCATAATCTTTACCAACTGCATTATTTATCGTTATCACCATTATCATCATTATCCATCATCGTCACCATCACAATCATCAAAATCACCACCTCCAACGCCATCACTAACACCACCATCATCATCATTAATACTATATCACCGTCAACTCAACCACCATCACCACAACCATTATAACCACTACTACCATCATCATCACCAATACCACCACAATAATTACCATTACAGTCATCATCATCATCCTCATCATTGTCACTACGCACCACCACCATCATCATCATCTTCAACACCACCACCACTAATGTAATCATCATTACACTCATTATCACCAATGCTATCTTCTTAATGGTTTACCTATCATTGAACTGTGTGAAGTTAAGCAAAGTCGATTTGAACGTGGAACCGTCAACAGATAATCGGATGATGGAAATAGATCCTTCTCGATTAATGAATTCTGTCTGGTCGGCATTCTGTGCAGCTTCTCCCTCGTTCGCGACGACGATAGTACGACAATCGTGAGAGAAATGAAGCATATCAGGTTTGCTGCCAACTAGATTCAAAGTTGAAAGAGAAGATTAAGTTCTAGTAGAAAGTGTTTTTTTTTATAATTGGTGAACTTTTTCATTCGTTGTATGCCATTTTGGAAGAATAATTACAAATGTCTCCCAAAAAGGAATAATCATTAGATGGTTAGACCATACTCTCAGACCTCATGGCATATAGTCCCACATATCAGTTTTCGTGGGCTGTGCATGCAGTTTTATCAACATTGATCAAGTTTCTTTTAATGTTTATTATTCCAAAACCTCACCCTTGACTTATCTTTCCTTTAACGACATAATGAAGTTCATTTCCTTTATATTGTTATACATACATGATACATACAACGGATGAACTATGATATGACTATTTCATTAATATATAGATCACATTTAGAGTTTATAGACAGATGTGTACGTATTTATATATATATCGTACGTGATATTTCATGGAGCTTTGTCCAATCTCCAGATGCTTTGTCGTAGAGGGAGTAAACATGCAGAGTTCCATCGTCTGTCTTCCTTGGTCCCTCGAGTACGAATCCCACAAAGTCGCCGCAGGTCTCGATATCATTACATGTCGTGTCGACTGCAAAACGCTCCAGAATTGTGGGCGTGGTTACATCCGACCAATCAGTGATGTGGATGTAGTTATCACCTGAGTTCGGGAAAAAACAGTATACAAATAATGCGCTGTTACGTGTGTGTTAGCGCAGGGCAAGTGCACGAAGTTTAGTCAGTGCCCATAAATGCACGCGCCCGCAGGGCAAGTGCGTTATCGATATCGCATTGATTAAACTGAGTGCACTGGAACTGACCTAACACACTAGCGAAACAGTACATTATTTGTTTTATAAGACGGATCGGCATTCTTACAATATAGTCTAGATCTGGAGAATACGGTAGATAGATATTAGATCTAGATCGATCTAAGTTAGATCTAACTAAACTAGGCCTAGAATATTCTAGATCTAGATCTAGATACAGTGTATTGACAAAACATTCCTTTTCAGTTAAGGCAGCCATTTTAATTTGCGCGTAAACATTGCGTTATCAATGTTTACAAATGCGCATGTATTGTTGCGTCACTACCTGCGCTATGCGGTCACGTCGTATACACCAGTTTACGGTTATGTGCGCCATTTTAATCAAAGCCAATGACCTAGAAGTCATGTATTTATGCGTAAATTAAGATTGCGCCAATGCAAATTATGATGACATCACTGCCTACGCGCTGCGTTGTGCGCGCACATCATCATTTGCATATGGGCGCAATCTTAATTTACGCATAAATACCACTGACCTCAGGTCATTGGCTTTGTTTCAAAGCCAATGACCCGAGGTCAGCCTGTCTGCGCATGCGCACTGATGTAACCGTAAACTGGTGTATTAGCATGGGCGCCATTTTAAATTACCCGTAAATTAAAATGGCGCCCATGTCTGCGCACGCGCACTCTTGTAACCGTGTAAGGGTGTCTTATGCACAAATTAAATTTGGCTGAAGTACGCGAAAGAGATATCGGCAGGTTTCGAGCGAGTGTTATCAATTTTTGATGGGAGCTCTTTTGCACGGTGGGAAAAACTAACGCACGCCCACGTGGTTTCAATTGACCAATCGGATTGCTTAGATGCTATAACCCGTCTCATAATAACAACGATGATATGGAGTGTTTTTCTAAAAAAACGGATACAGTAAACTTGGGGTAATCATAACATATAGTTTAAGCTTCTATTAACCTTCAAATTTAGTAGGCAAGCACTTATGCATACTAGTTCCAGTGTTTACTGACTGTTTTCGAGACCAATACCTTGTTTGTTGATCAAAATTCAATGTATCTTCATGTCTCATGGTAATTTTTAGGGAAAAGCAATCTAAGCAACAATTTCTGAATTTTAGCAACAATCGTTCGCCATTGCTGCTCTTTAATACTACTATGACGTACAGTAACACATTGAAATTTCAGGACTCATGACAAATTCGTTTATAAAATGGGTTCAAGAATGTATAGCCAATGAGAAGCGTCAAAATGGATCACGTGACCTTGCATAATTTTGTTTTACTATATGCACGGTACTATCCGCACGGCGTGCACTTTGGTGATAACAACCGTGGATGAAGGTTGCGGGGAGACATTTATTGCACCATATTGAATACCCTCATGCGCTGCATCGACCATAACGCACAAACACCTGTGTGTATTTGTATATTAACAGTTGACCACTTGTGGTTGATTCTATTGTTCGGATTATTTAGCAGAGAGATATAGAAATTGTTATTCTCATGGCTAACGACGAAGTATTATTATCCTCTTCACCCGCCTTTACGATCTATTTAAATAGAGAAAAAAATCTAATGTAAGGCTTCATGGAAGAAGTTTCGATTGTTGTTAAGACATTTCTGTTGATTCCGCTCGGTTGATTCTATTGTTCGGACTATTAAGCTGAGAGAGATAGAAGTTGACATCCCCATGACCTTGCATTATTATTCTTAAAACTTTTGGTCCCATTCTCAGCTGTTTATTAGGGTTCAAACACGTGCAAATACACTAAATTTTAGATCATGCCTTTATCAGAAAGTCAACTCTGCGTACAAGGTAGGTCAAATCAAGAAGAAAGAGCAGGTGCGGGGCTATAGGGTACAATTAACTGTGCGAAAGCTTTGTCCTTGAAGCCTAATTTGCATAAAGTAAACAACTTGTTTATGCTAAATCGCTACGGTAAACTGTAAAATCTCACTTTAAAAACCACCGAATGAAATGATTGATATGTCAAATTGAAGAAGAAGAGTTGATTTAACTCATTATTATTGCAGTTATGTTTAATATGCGAAAACTAGGCAAAACAAAGAGCCATTTTTTTGTCTGAAAATATTGCAGTATTCTTCATATTTTCCGTCATTACGCCAGATCGATAAATGTTAAATCTAAATATATCAAAGCTTTTCTCGAAATATCTTTTCATAATTGTTTATCCCACGGTTATCGCTGGAACAGATCGAAGGCAATTGTCATCAACGAACCCACTAGCGAAATGTTCGCGAAAGCGTGAGAGTAGCCCCATCTATAGGGATACGTGCAGGAGAGTTGTAGTCCCACGTAGCGTTTAATGTCAATTTTGTGCATATTCATATCGTCCCGGACTTATCTCTTTGAGAAATCGAAGCATCTTTTCACCGACCTCTGAAATAGAAATACACCTATAACTTTAAAGATGCACATTCCTAATAGAGTTTTAGTAGATTTTTGTGATATGTAAGGCCAAAAGCGGAGATTAATACCTGCAGAATAACCAATTTTTGTCGCAGAATCATAGCCGGTCTGCTCCACTGCTCCAGCATCAATGCCATAGAGACCTTCTTCTCCGTTATAGCTGTACGGCAAGTAGATGGTGGAAACTGGACGGAGAGTCACCACTGCAGAAACGACTGGTAATAAGACCAACAACGTGGCGATGCAAGAAACCTTTCGCAGCATCATGGGTGCTTTAAGTATCCTCTGCATGTTCTAAATCGGAATAAATAAAGTTAATGATGATGGATTTGTATTACGCAAATGCTAAAGGAAATCACAATTGTTATATTATCGGGTTAGTATAAATTGTCTACAGTCCAGCTACAGACCAAAGGCCTTCTAGCCTTCTAGTATTGGGTCGAAAATCGTTAACACTTTAACACAAATATAACAAAATGGTACAAGTGTATGCTGTGAGTGGATACCATCCCACTGTGGCATTTTAGCAATTGAAAAGGCCGACAGCTTAGCCAAAACAGCAATAACACATGATATTGAAAATATTCCTCCTTCCAGCTGTAAAGAGATGCTCTCAAAAATTCAAGATAAATCGACGAGGCAATAATAATACTAATACTAAAACAATATTTATAAAGCGCATGATAAACATAAGTTTCTCTATGCACTGTACCAGCATGAATGACGAGAAATATAATCACATAAAAGGAATCAACAAAGAGAAATAAACAAATCTTATAACTACTAAAATGAATATCTTTAAACTTTCATAATTAAAAGATAGCTAACATGGTCAAAACAAATAACGTAAGTAAGGATAGTTTAAGCTTATTAATTATAAGGCCAAAGAGGTGCGTTTTAGTAAAGATTTGAACGTTGCAGAAGTGGGTGCCTGTTGTTTGAATTTGGAAAGATTGTTCCAAAGGTTTGGTCCATCAACTGCAAAAGATCTGCCCCCATAGAATATAGTATTGGCCTTTGGTACCCAAAGTAATGATTGCTTGCTTGAACGGAGGGTTTGGGGTGGGTGGTATTGTTCGAGCAAATCAGTCTGGTATGGAAGAGAAAAACTGTATTGTGCTTGAATATAATTAATAAGAGTTTGAATATGATGCGCTTTTCTACAGTAAGCCAGTGTAGTTTCTAAAGAGTAATACTTATACTTTGTTGGCAACACCAATGGGATAATTCCCAAAGAGGCCGTTTTTTGTACCATATACAACCGAAAATTCAACCTACATTAGAATCCAACTTGCACAGTAGAAGGGATGAAAGCACAAGTCACCGACTGGGAGTCAGTAGTTGCCTTTTGAACGAAACTCTCTTCAAACTAGGCAAACATAAAAATGGTCTTTGTTTATATTGTAACAAAACAGAAAATGTACAACATTATATTATTGATTGTTATCAGTTCGACAGAGAAAGAATACAACTACGACAAAATAAATAAAAATGTACCACTAAGCCTAGAAAATGTACTCTCTCCAAAGAATCAACGAACTATATTAAGATATGTACGACAAACAAAGAAATACGATATCCTTTAACACTCCATCTCTCTCTCTCTCTCTCTCTCTCTTCTCTCTCTCTCCTGTTTTGGTTTTTGGTTGGGTACTATATTATCGTTTTACGTAACTGTTAACGTAATTGTGATGTAAGTCACTGTCTATCCGTCTATATGTCCAGTGCATGCTACTGTTCTATTGGTTTTTGCTTTATTTAAAATATAATAATTTGCTCGTTCTAGACAGAACGACATCGGCCAAAACAAGGAAACTCAAATGACGTCATGTTATAGCAGTACACTGTGTATCTGAGTGGCCTAGATCCGAAGGATTGATAAGCTTGCTCAATGTATACGTAGCAGGGTTGGCCGGGATCCAGCAGTGGACCTATCAAAGCAGTCTCCTGCAGTAGATTGTAGCAGAAGTGGAGACCCATTACATGTCAAAATAAAGTTAGCCGTTTAACAAAAACAAAGATGGAGTGATTGATTGTATTCATCAAGCATTAGTATATACTATGGGATATACAAGAGAAAAGGAAATACATGTAGTATTTTTTGACAAGGTTACCCACTTATGGAAACGTTTGCTTGAACTTGTCTCATAAAAGAAGTTGAGTGTTGATTGCAGGGGTCACGGGCCACTGGCTTCATCTAGTGTGCGTGCATTTGGAACAGGTCAAAGAGTCAATTCAGACGCTGAAGGTTTTTTAAATAAGGTTTCCTTTATTCTGTCAACAATATACAGCCAATCAAAATATGTTTAATACCAGAAGAAAGCTAACGATGAGTATATTAAGCCACTCACCCGAAGCCGCCTGACCACAATGGAACGAGTAAGGGCTTGCAAGAGCAGCCGAAGTGCAATTGAAACTCGCTATTTAGCTCTTCTCCAAGCAATGCAAAAAGAGACGACATTGTGCTGGGTTATTACGTTTTTTTCGACAAAAGTATAGAGAAAGTGCAATTTATTTGTTAATATTATTTTTTTTTTTTAAACGTTTTAGCCCTCCATAGGCTATTTTATTGAGTCAAACAAACATTTTTACGATTCAATGAAATTAAGTCTTTCCTTAACTCAAACAAAACAGAATACTTTCACATTTCTCTCCTTGTTGTTCATACAAACAAATGTTGAAGTGCCTGCCATTTAGTAACAAATTTGTTATGCATACCAGATATAGAATGGATATATCTCTCGTCTTCATAATATTGAATAATTTTCTTCTTCAAAGAACTAAAAATTTGGAATTTTGTTATTAAGCTTTTGAACAAAATATTAATAGTTGATGCTTAATCAAAGTCACCATGCAATTTAAAGCATCGTTTCTTTTGTCTTCAAAACCAAAAATTACATTTTCTAAATTAAACTCTATCTGTAATCGAGAACCTTCATTTATCCATTTCACCGTTTCATTCCAGATTGATTTACTGATTTCACAATTGTAAAAGAAAAGTACAATATCTTCCAACTCTTTTTTACAAAACGAACATTTATCGTTACTCACTATTTTCATCTTATACAGTTGCTTGTTCAAATACAGAATCCTATTTACTATCTTAAACTGAAAATATCTTAAACCAATATCTGGAGTAAAACGAAATATCATTCTATGATATTTCTGCATTCTTATACATTCAGGGGTATAATCTAAATGTCGTTCCCATTTCATACATATTGAGTTAACACAATTGGTTTTTCCAAGAAAAGTTTTGTAAATATATTGACAACCTTTTATGTCATGTACTAATATTTTGATATGTGACGGCATTAGAGGATCTACTACATTTTTTTCACATTTTTCAATATGCATTTGATATCGAAACTTTATAGCTTGAGTTACAGAATAATAAGACAAATAATTTAGTTTCAAGCAGAATTTTTGTTCACATTGCTCACGAGTCAGAAGTTTTCCCTTATCATCAATCAAATCATTTATACATCTGATGCCTTTTTCATACCAAGATTTAAAAAATACAGATTTTTGTCCAATTTTTATTGAGCTATTTCTCCACAACGGATAAGTTAACCAATCATCTCCCTCTATACGACTCAACATAGACAGAGCGTGAAACACATGTCTCCAAAAAGGATTAGCAACTTCATGAGACAATGCCGAAAAATATTCATCACCAAACCCTACTACAAATGGTTTTGTTAAAAACGATTGCATTAAATGACTAACATCTTTACATGTTCCTAAAACCATTCTTCGAAGCCATGTTAACTTTAGTGACATGTTAAAAAACTCAATATCTGGTATTTTAAGTCCCCCTTCTTCATATGTACCAACAACCTGTTTCCTACTAATTTTATCTGGCTTATTCTTCCATATAAAGTTAAAGAACTTAACTTTTATGGTTTTCATTAACTTTGCTGAAGGATCTGGGATTGCCATAAAAAGATGATTAAACTGTGGTAACAGTAATGATTTAGCAACTGTAACTCTTCCAAGAACCGTAATGTTCCTTTTGATCCAAGAAATCATCTGGCGTTTTACTTTACTTTGGCGTTTTACATAATCTGGTATTTTGTCAATAACAACATGAAAGTCAGCACCAAGATAACGAAAAAAATCATTATGTACAAAATTCACTTGTCTTCCTTCTAATTCTATATCTTCATTACATTTTGAGGCCCCAATCCAAATTGCGTTTGTTTTTTGGATATTGATCTTCAGCCCACTACAGTTTCCAAATAGGTCCAAAATATGTAGTGCATTACAAAAACTAGCAGCTGTGCCATCAAGAAACAATATTGCGTCATCTGCATACTGAAGGATCTTAAATTCCTTTGAACCGACAGAAATTCCTTTCACAGAGTGTGAATTTCGAATTAAAATCCCAAGAATTTCGGCGCACAACAAAAACAATTATGGAGAATTTGGATCCCCTTGCCTACATCCCCTTCCTACACGAAATCTTGATGTTATTCGCCCATTAACCATAACACTAGAGTATGCATCACTAAGCAATATCTTTATCCACTTTATAAACGAACTACCAAACTTAAAAAGGGAAAGTGTTTTATACAGAAAGTGGTGAGAAACAGTATCGAATGCTTTTTCAAAATCAATTAACAAAATCATTCCAGGAACATTTTCTTTTTCAGTATAAGCAATAATGTCATATAAAATTCTAATATTTTCACCAATGAATCGTCCAGACATAAAACCTGTTTGATTAGCATGTATAATATGAGGTAATACTCTTTTTAGTCTATTAGCAATACAGCTTGATAGTATTTTATAAACAACATTCAACAGAGAAATTGGTCTCCAATTTTTGATAAAGTGTCTCACTTTGTCACCTTTAGGAAGTAATGTAATCAAACCAATATTTTGCGAGATAGATCATTTTCCAGAAGTGTAAGCACAATTCATACTACGCATCATATAAATGCCTAATTCTTCAAAGAAAACTTTGACAAATTCCACAGTAAATCCATCCTGACCAGGAGCTTTATCAGGTGGGCTGTATAACGTACAGACCACCTTATAATTTCGTTAGAATTGCCTTTATTTATTATTCGTTATTTTTCTTATTTCGAACCATTTTTTTGTAAGCACGATTACTTGAAAATGGCTCAATCAAATTTAGCACACATATGTGTAGGCATATGTACAAAACACAATAACGTTTTCAACATTGACCTTCACTGATGACGTCATCTAGGCGCCATTTTGTAAAATTTTACGAAAATCAACTCATGATCATATCTTCATAACTAATGGTTATTTCTTATTCATA